TTAATTCTATTCAACTGCCTTCACATGGGGTTGAACCGGTATCTTGTGATTTGACCTGTGGAGCACTAACCACTGTGTTATGGACCCACAGGTCTTAATTTTTCAAATCATTTGTATAAATAAATATAAATTATAAAGTATATTAATAATTTGTTTAAGACCTGTGGATCCATAGCACAGTGGTTAGTGCTCTATAGATCAGATCACAAGATACTGGTTCAACCCCATGTGAGGGCGGTTAAATAAGATTAATATGGTATCTGGCATTATAACCAAACATGTGCTGTTTCTCATAAGAAGCCGTTTCACATGCTGATCCGGTAGGCGTTGAGATTGTGATCTTCCTGTTAAGGTGTAGTGGCGTGATGATCGTCTGGATGGTGTCATGATGATCGTCTAACGAAAGGTGTCACCATACATTTGGATGTATAGACAGGGCTATACTCCATCTTATCCAATCCTTATCAACTATTAACCACAACTATCTATTTGGATATACAGATTGGGCTGTATTCCATCTTATCAAACCCATACAACACTTACCTCCTGCTGGCTAAAGAATAAGGAAGCTTTGAAGAAGAGCACCATACCGACACTACCATCTTGTGTGACATGAACTACCTAACGGCTGACCATATATGTAGGAGTTGCGCCCTGCTTGGCATTTATGCCCTTAGATTTGGCAGCCTACGCCAACCGGTTCTGAACTGAAGTGTCTACTAGGAGATTTAGGAATCACGCCCCACTTGGCTACAAGAGCTCCTAGATTTGGCAGCAAGTGCCAACCAGCAAACCAAAACCGGAGCATTCATTAGGAAGTGCATACCAACGTTAGACCCCTCTGTCACATTAGCTGCGTGAGCGAAAAGGTGTGATGTGACAAGCAACCTTAGGAAATAGTTAACAGTACTCACTGCTCCTTAAAATTGGACCAGTAGGTTAGGTGATTTAAACTAGTGATAGGACTTCCACCCTTTAAATAGGTCCCCCCCCAAAAATACGAACCCACTTCATGAGTGGTATTAATATCGCTGGGGTAATAAGTAGATAGGCTAGCATTTAGCTGTTGTAATACAATAGAAGATGTTTGATGTAATCAAAAATTAATAAATAAGTCAATAAAGCTTCGCATCTAATGCCATTCTACTATAAAAAAAAAAAAAAAAAAATTAATAATTTGTTTAATTAATAAAAAATAAATATAAATATAAATTATAAAATATATTAATAATTTATTTAATTAATAAAGAATAAATAGAAATATAAATTGTAAAGTATATTAATAATTTATTTAATTAATAAAAAAAAAACTTTCTTCTGATTATGTCTATTATGTTAAAAATTTTCATATATGATAATTTTGATCAAAAAAAAATGTTTTACACTCTTTATTATAAGTAAGCCCTAGCTCAAGAACCCAAGAACACTAAAGACAACTGATATAATGGAATGAGACCTCTGATTAAAGTTTACTTAAATTTGAGAGTCTTGTTTATCTTTCTGTTGTATAGAAAAAGGCCTATAGTGATAGATACTTTGATTCTCTTGTAATCCAAACCCCTTTATATTATAAAAATCATCTTTATTTATATCATCACAATTATTATATTCATAAATATTTTTCAAAAAAAATATTTAAATAAAGTTGTAGGTTCCGATGTTTGTTTTAATACAACCTTTACATACTTCTCTATTCTGGTGTCACTTACTGCACCATTCAAAAAAATTCTTAATCTTTTTTGGTCTCAAAAACTGAAATCAGTTTACCTCTCCAATTGATCAATGTCTGGCAACTGTTCAATCAAAATTCACTATAACATTTAAAAACCATAACAATAAAACTGGTTTAAACTGGCTTACTAATTTAATAAAAATAACAACAATAATTGGCCTAAACCAGATTACCTGTCTGATCTCTATCATAATAATAACAACTATTACAGTAAACAACTTTAAGTACATTTTACTATCCATATCAAGAAAAGAAATATCAACAAGTCATAAAGAACTGATTATTTGGAATAATAAGTCTGGCAAAGTATTTTCTTGAAAATTAAACTTTTATTTTTATAGATATTATAATTTACTTAATATAGTTTTAGTTTTAGTTAGCTTTATTTTTTTCTTTTCAAATATTCAAAATATAAAAGTTTTTTTTTCTAAGTAGGTAGGTATAGCCACTATTTAGCTTTTATTTAGCAATTAATATAGTTTTAAATTTCTTTTCTGTATTAGTTAAATATTATATGAGTAGGCAAGCTAGCATTTAACTTATTGTATGCTTTTATAACTAAAAGATGTTGATTCTTTTCAAAATATATGCTATTATATATATGAAATAATAAAGAATTGATGTTTACCTACTTTAAAAAAAAAATTGTTTAATTAATAAAGAATAAAAATATATATATATATAATCAAAAAATTTAAAAACAAAATAAAAATAAATAATTTTTCATTTTTACAATAGATATTTTTATCTCAATAAAATCTTTTTAATTGGATTTATTTTTTTAAAATAAAATAAAATTAATTATTGAATATGCAGTAAATAATTAATAAAATTTTTTAAATTGAATTCATTATATTACACATATATATATATATACCATATACTGTATATATTAATATATCAAGCTTTATATTAATTGAATCAAAAATTTTTTAGAGTCAGATTTAACAATATTGTAATAATATAATTTCAAAATTTTATTGATAAATTCAACTTTTTTCTATTTTCAAAATTTTCTATAACAATATATTGTTTTTTATACTAATCTTTTGTATTATATAATCATAACCTGTAAAAAAATAACAATGTATGACTAGAAGATGATTTATCTGTTTTCAATAACACAAGAAATAAAACACATCAATATTAAATTTATTTTATATACTGTACTAGTACCACTTAAATGATTTATTAAATAATTTAATATCATCACTTTCTTGTCCCTTAATTTTTTTTTTTTAGAAGAAAACGTTTAATAATTGCAATATGTGCAATATACTTCTTTTTTTAATAAATATACTGTATGTATAACTTTAGGTGATTTCTAAAGTAAATGATTAAGATAAATTCGTTTATAATTTAATTTTTAGAAATCACAAATCTGAAATTATTACAAGCCCTAGTATCAGGAAACAACAAAGTTTAATCCAAAAATAAGAAGATGAGCATCGTTCTCATTTCCGGTTCTATTTTGATTCCATACATACTACGGGTACCAGATATTATGCACTTGAGACCTCCTCGCCGGTCATTTTTCCAATGGCGTCGATGGCCGCAACAAATCTTTTGCTGACAATCGATTTCTTTCCGTCAATATTGTAAAACGGATTACAAACCTGATTAATGTAGGCGGTATGAATCTTCCGGAATATCTAAGTGAATGAAAATAAGAACGATCAATTATTGAACTAGTGAAAATCAATGACTACATTCACAAACACCTCATAACATTACATTTTTCATATCGGAATTTTTAATTACTGCATCAGGGACCGAAAGAACCACCACAAATTTGACTCGAGTATTTGTCAAGTAGCCATACCTAAATTTGAATTTTTTTGGTTCAATATTAACCAGTATGGAATCATGATCATAGAAACTAAGGAAGGTATAAACAAAGTATACATATAGATATTTCGCTCACACTGCTAGATCTTCCATGGCATACAACAGTCCAAGATAAGTGTCTGCTGACTCAGGACCCGTACTGACTAGTAATTGATTGCAAGTTAGTGAAATGAACAGTAGTCCTTAAAAGTTCGTTGATTGATCCCCATTTAAACGTCAGAAATCCTTACTCCTCTCCTCGATAACGTCACAAGAAGTATGTGCGATGTAATGATACTTCAAATCCGGGTGCGTGGTACTAAAGTTTTTGATGTATAACGGATTATTCTATTCGCAAATTAATTAATTGATTAATTAATGTTTATGTGAAGCAATTGATTATTCATTTTCTATCCCTTTCAGAAATTTTAAAAAAAAATCGCTTGAAGCCAACTCACCATTTTACCAATGATGGCAATACATTGAATCTTAATATTACTCATTGTCGTTTTTTCATGTGATTTGGATCGATGGATATTTAAATGTTTTCCTTAAAGAGGATTTGTATGATATTAAAAATAATTTTGACAGTTTTCAACGTCAACC